TACTGGTTCTAGAAGTTTTCTGTGGAGCTTTCTGGGTCTTCTAGGTATAGAGTCACATCATCAGCAAATAGTGCTTAATTAAATTCTTCTTTTCATATACATCACCCTTTAATTTCTTTCATCTGGTCTAATTGCTCTGGGCAGTATTTCAAGAACTATGTTGAATAGAAAAACAAAGGCCAAATGTTTTCTCTGATAAGCAGATGCTGATCTATTAAGATTGGAGGGTAGAGGAAAGAATGAAGTAACTTTGGATTGGGCAGAGGAGAGTGRAGGGGATGTGGGGATGGGAAGGATGGTGGAATAAGACAGACATTATTACCTTGTAAACATGAATGATTATGTTACTGGTGTGTCTGTGCACAGGTACATCCAGAGGAATGAGAAGTTGTGCTCCATTTGTGTACAAAGTGTCAAAATATATTCTCCTGTAATGTAAAACTAATTGGAACCAATTTTTAAAAATTTAAAAGCATTGAAAGACTAGCCATTGATTAGGTCTGACTCCCAAGATCATTCACACATTCTGGTTTCTTGATCTCTTTCATGGACCTGTCTTTGCTTTATTTGGTGCCATTTTTCCCTCCTCTTAGGGGAGTACACTATGAAATTATCTACATCCCTGTCCCAGAATGTATCTCCACAAGGACAAACATGTACTTACTTTTGTGCTACACGAAGTTAAGTTTTGATCACATTTAGGAGAAATGCGAGCATTTCTTCTTGGGTGTAGGAATATGGTGGTCCTTGCTCTCACCTAACTCCCATGGGCACACTTCTTAATTGCATGAGCTATTGGACAATTTTTTCTCAGACACTGAGAACTGCTTTGGTCAGGTCAGCATGTGTCATGCTGTCCATGCCATCCTACAGRGCTCACAATCTTTTGTCTTCTCTGCCAAGGCCAACCTGTCAAAGGAGGTCCTTTTCCTGAAATACTCTGTGCAAATGGAAGGAAGAGAGTGAGGGTGTATAATGTAGAAACCAAGTTCTCTAGAGACACTGTCCATCCAGAAAACTGTGTACTATTTGCTACAGGGTTATGGATGGAAATGATATGACTTTCAATTTAAAATCCAAAAAAATTTCTTTTTTTTTTTCCTTTTTCTTTTTGTACCACAGTTTGAATCCAGGGCTGCTTCACCCCTGAGCAACACATGCATCCCTTATTTTATATTTCATTTAGAAATAGGGTCTTTATAAGTTGCTTAGGGCCTCCCTGAGTTACTGAGGCTAGCTTTAAACTTGCAATCCTCCTACCTCAGCCTCCTGGGTCACTGGGGTTATAGGCATGCACCACCTCACCTGGCTTTAACAAGTCCTTTGGGATAGCCCAATTTCCAGTGTGTATCTTCACTCTTCTTCTGTAGCTTGGGTGTAGTGGGAAACCAGCTGAGTAAATCATGAGCCAAGGTCATGCCTGTGCCTCAGTGGATGGTAAACCAAATAACGCTGGGCAGGTGTTTCCTGACCCACATGTCCTTTTGTATCACCATGAGTCACTGCCAGCTGTTCCCACTGCCATGTGCTATGGCACAGAAGTAGTCTCATCTGTGGTCTGGGTCCTGCTGGTGGTCAGGGTGGCTGAGTTTCCCATGTTGGAACCTGAAATCAGACCAAGGTTAGTGTATGCCATTTGCTATCATCATAATTGACAAGGAAAGGAGCCTGCCTGGATTTTGCTGGTACTAATATCCATACTTATGCCCAAATTTGCCTTTAGAGCAGTGTTACTAGCTGTCTTACTGATGGCCAGACACTGAGGATGGCTGAGTCAGATCAGAGGAAGCCAAGGCAACTCCACAGAGAGAAAAGGAGAGGTGGGATTAACATTGAGGAAGTCTTCCAATGAATTTCCTGCCTGCCTAGTCCAGACTCACTTCAAGAATGCTCTGGGCTTTCAGGGAGCCCCCTCCCATTAGGGTCAGTCCAGTGTCCCATGGGCTGACTGGAGGGTGGTGTCATTGAGCATGTGAGCAACACCTCCTCACTCCTGGCAGCTACAGTCCCTCAGACTCACAGCAAGTGTTGAGCTGAAACCCTGAGCATCTTGCCCCCTCCTCCACAGGCAGGGTCAGGCTGGGCTGAGATCCAGCTCCAGGTAGGTCCCATTGCCCTGGGCTCCATGGGTGGGTTCCTTGAGGAAGAACTTGTGCAGTAAGAGAGAAGCCCAAGAAGGAGAGGGGTGCAGACTATGGTGGAGGTTCCCCTGAGTCTGCATCCTGAGACCTAGTCTGGGCTGGCTTCTCCAAGTCCTCTCTTATTCCAATCTAAGAGATTGCTGCCCATTATGCAAATTATCCTTAGCTTCAGGCTGCTGCTGGAGATTTTGGTGTGCAAAGCAGCACTTACCCACAGGTGATAGAGAGAGGAGGAACAGCTCTTCAGACTCACCCTCAGCCCCTAGGATGATTCTTCATGGTGTGGTCTCCTAGCTTCTGTTGACAAATGCTACCCAGATTGTGATTTCTTAGATGGACTCTGTAGTCAAGAGGGCCTTGAGGTCATTAGAATCACCAGGAGGTTGAAGCTCATGCAGGTGCGAAGACACCTGCATCACCCAGGGGCTCTTTGTTCCAGTGCAACAGGCTCTTATAAGAAATATTCATGATAGTTCTTTTGTATAACAGTATTCTGAAACAGAGGTCATATAAATGTGTATTACCATCTGAAGAAAGGTAGATACCTTTTTATAAAGAATACTTCTGAGTAGTTATCCTAGGGTCTGATCTTCAGAGAACAGTGGGTAAGATCAGCATCTTTTTGTCTAGGAGAAAGGCAACCAGCATGTTTTTTTTTCCTTTGATATTTTTCTATCTTTTTCCCTTTTCTCACTGAAATTTATCTCTTCTTCCCTCTTCTTCACTATGTAATGTAATAGTAATTTTGCAACCTTTAATTAATGTATCTTATTATCTTTGCAATCTTTTAATTAATTTATCAACAATTTCCAGATTATTACTATAATTTTATACCTGGGGTTAGAGGAACTGTGAAAAACAGTTTTAACTAGTTTTTGTTTCTCATAAGGTTGATTAGTATATGGTTTGTTCTGAAGTGCTTGTATAAACAGGGTTTAATGTTTATACCACTCTCTCATGTGGTGCTGATGGTGAGAAGAGAAGAGGACACACATTGAGTGTAGTAAGTATAAACAGCTGGATATTCACCCGAAATGGTTCTCTTAAGAGCAAGCAGCTCATTAAATAGTCCCTTTTATAAAAGTAAAAGCAATAATCATCCCAGCAGATGGATAGACTTATAAGTGAAAAAGTAAAGGAACAAGCAATCTCCAAATAGCCCACAACACTGATCAACAACTGATCCCATTGACATCACAGTTAAGGAAATAATGAAGAAAGAATTTAGAAAGTTTGTACTTAAAATGTTCAGTGACTTAAAAGATTTAAGGAATGAACTAGAGATAAAATACAGGAAGTAAACKATCATTTCAATAAAAAGAGAGATTCTTAAAAAGAACCAAATGGAAATCCTGAAAATGAAAGACTCAGTAAATCATTTTTGAAGGCAGAATGTCAGGCTTTGAAGATAAAGTATATAATACTGAACATAGAGTCAAAAATAAAGAAAAGATGTTAAGTAACCCTAACCAGAATATTGAAGAAATCTGGGATAACATTAAGAGACTAAATCTAAGAATCATTGGTGTTTCCAAAATACAAACTAAAGGAGTGCACAATCTTTCCAATGAAATGCTCAGAAAATTTCCCAAACCTTAGGAACAAGGAAAAATCCAGATTTCAGTCACCTATGAGGAGCTAGGGGAGGACCAGGGCCCATGAAACTCATGGCAGACAAAGTGGTGGCAATGTCCAGGAGCAGGTGGCAGCAGTGATGGGGCCTTGCTCAGAGGAGAGTGCCCTGGGTGTTAGCCTGCCCTTGGTTCCCTGGAAGAGGACCAGTGACCAGTGTGAGAATGGCAACAGCAGAAGAAGTAGATGCTCAGATGCTTCTCTCTATTTTTTAGTCTGAGCCAGGGGAGGCCAAGCCATATGGCCCAGGTAGCTGGAGGGGGTCCACTGCACAAGAATGGGAATTCTCTTCACCAGGATATGGAGGCTGTTCACTAATCAGGGTAACAAAATTATCACTGTAGGACTGGGCAATGTGGGGGAAAACTGCCATCTTTAATAATTTTCTTTCTTTCTTTTTTGAGTTCAAAATTATAGGTTCTACTTAAAAATTTTCAAGAAGAAAATTATACTACATTTAAAAAGATACTTAACTATCACAATATTAATGTAAACCATAGATTCTTGAAATATTTGAGGACATCATAGAAAATATGCTGTTGCTGAAAAAATGATGTTAGTTTTTCAATAGTTTTATAATTTCTTTAGGTTTGCTCCATGTCAAGGGAAATTATTTTTTTATGTGTGAATAAAGATGTGGAGGGCAAATATCTAATCAATTTCCTTCAGATAAATATTTTTAGATTATATAATAAATATGGAAGACTAGTGACAGTTTTCAATCCTCATTCTCTATTGTCTGAGCTTCCATTTCATTTCTTCTCTTTTTGGCTGTGGTGTCAAAATATGGTTAAAGGAAAAGGTTAGCTTTATAATGGTCACACTGCATAAGAATTATAATAGTCACTTGGTCACTTGCATAAGAAGAAGACCACAGAAGCCATAAGTGTGATTTAACAATATTTGACACATTTTAACTCAAAAAGAGTATAAAAAGGAAACAACAATTGGTACAACTCAAGTAAGTGTTTGCCATTTTTTTTTTAAATTTAACATTCAAAATTTGTTCAAATACCATCTTTTCAGTGTGGTAGTCAGTGACTTCTTGATTTTTAATTGCTAATTTCATCTATTTCCTGGAGAAGTATCTGGTAGACAAACTGAAAAAAATTWAAAAAAATAAAGCAGACTTTTAAAAATAATGAAAATAGTGTAAAGGAAGTATTTACATTCACATGAAGGGGGAAAGCATACTTCAATAGTGATATCCACCTTTAATAATTTTATATGAATAAAATAGTACATATATCCTCTACAGTAGGAAGTAAGGTAGAAGAGATAGTGATTAATGATGTACATTTCCTAATGTGGAATATTGGTGGCCAAGAATCTCTTTATTCTTCCTGGAATACTTATATTAACAAGAACTTTGTAATAGTAGTTTTGGACAGTACAGAGATTTCTGTAACTAAAGAAGAACACTACAAACTATTAGTGCATGAGGACCTAAGAAAAACTGTATTACTCCCATGCTCCAATGCTTCCCCTCCCCACCCCACTATGAGTCAGTCTCCTTATATCAGAGAAAATATTTGGCATTTTGTGTGTGTGTGTGTGTGTGTGAGGGGGATTGGCTAACTTCGCTTAGCATGGGAAGAACTGATAAATTCTAGATAGGCCAGAGGGGTGGGAGGGAAAGGGATGGGGCAGGGGATTAGTAAGGATAGTGGAATGTGATAGAAATCATCATCCAAAGTACATGTATGAAGACACGAATTGATGTCAACATACTTTATATACAACCAGAGATATGAAAAATTGTGCTGTATACATGTAATAAGAAATGTAATGAAWTTTGCTGTCATTTATTTATTTATTTAAAAAATCAATTAGAAAAAAACTGGATTACTGATTTTTGCTAATAGACAGGAATGTATGACTTTAGCAGAAATATGCCAGTTTTTGAAGCTGACTTCTTTTAAAGATCATCAGTGGCCTATCCAGCCATGCTGTGCTCTTACTAGTGAGGGATTATGCTAAGGACTTGAATGTAAGATGTCACAATTTAGGATCAGATGACATTTATTGAACTGTTCTCATAGACTTTGTATAAACAAAGTACTGGACTTTACCTGAAAGCTGCAAAAATTCATGGTTTAGATATATTTGTAATAAAATGGTTTATTTTTTTATATAAGAAAAATCAAGACCACATAATTGAAAACAAGATGAAGTCTTACCCTACAATGTGTTTTCTCATTGGTTCCTTCCAAATTACTTTATAAAGCTGTAATCAACATTTTTCACAATGAATCCTYCCAAGACAATGTGTAGCCTGTGGTAAGTACAAASAGAGAGGAAGAGATTTTGAAATTTAASAGCTTTGTATCAGTATAACCTCCTTTGACTGAATATTGTTCTCTCTTGTTCCACTAAKTCAAAATACAAATCAGCACAGATACTGKTTCCAATATTCAAAAYATCATGTTATTTATGAAACAATGTATTTTGCTTAATTGTATATGTATGATRTAAATACCTTAAGTTTAAGTTAATGGCTTTATGTTCTAAAGAACAGTAAACAAGACAAAAATTAGTAATTACCCTAATGCAATAAGTACTGGCATTGGTGGGTTGCTTTTGTTTTTATTTTGGTATCAGGGATTGAACTCAGGGGCCCTTGACCAGTGAGCCACATCCCAGCCCTATTTTTTATTTTATTTAGAAGCAGGGTCACACTGAATTGTTTAGTGCCTCACTGTTGCTGAGGCTGGCTTTGAACTCGAGATTCTCCTGTCTCAGGCTCCCTAGCCTGTGGAATTACAGGCTTGTGCCCTGGTGCTCAGCTCTGGCATTGGTGTTAAATGCCATTTTATAATTTTCTTTATGCTATCTGTATTCTACTAATCACCCCCACCTCAGATTAAATCATTGAGCTGCTCTCAAAAAAACAAAAACAAAAACAAAAAAACACCAAGAAAAAGCTTGACATTATATGCCCATTTTGTTGATGAAAAACACACATGGAAAGATGTAATCTAAGTGAACGTACTATCTACAAATTCTTGGCTTTCGCAGGGCAGAATTGCACAGTGAGCCTTTATCAGATTATTACTTATATTGGTCTAAATTAATGAATACATTGTTAATCCATTTATCAGTCCATAAAAAATTGTAACTAAAGCTATCAAGTGATATTTTAATTAAAACTATTGTGTGAAACATGTCTACCCTGAGAGGTAGCATTCTATAAATATTATTAAATAATTTAGCTGCCGTCTTTTTAAGTATTAAATTGTATATGTCAAGTAGTTAAAATGAAATTGAGAGTTCAACTAAGGTATTAAAATTTTCCAAGCAATATTTTCAACTTTTTAATTTGCATATTTTATATTTTATATTTCTTATTTTACAAGTTGAAATACGTTTGAGTCTTTTTGTTTCTGCAAGTTTTCTTATGTCTTCTTTCACCATGTAAATGCATTTTTTTAACAATTAATAATGCAATATTTTCTGTGCTCTTGGTTTATAATTTATTGAAATTTGATATACTCTTTGTACTGAGACATAATTTGACCCAAAGTACTTTTGGTTTGCTTAGGTTTTTTTTTTCCAAAGTTTGAAAATACAAGGTATTTTTAAATGTAAACAGAATTATTCTATATTAACTACATACTCTTGTGTACTCTATTTGTGTAACTTTTATGCCCTGAAAATTTAAATAGTCATCCAAACTGGAATGTTTTAGAATATTCAAGAAAATTAATGATTAATTTTAATATCAATGTTTTAAATTTCATGAATATTTTGGTAAGAATAATAATATATACTACAAGTATTGTCAAAACGTTAAAACTTTCTTCTATAAAATGTAAAATATGAGGCTGGGCTTGTAACTCACTGTTCGAGAACTTGCCTAGCATGTATAAAGCACTGGGTTTGATTCTCAGAACCACCTATAAGTAATAATAAAAAAGGTCCATTGACAACTAAATATATACAGATAATTAATTTATTTATATAATTAATATATATTTTATATAATTAATATGTATATAAATATAATATATAATTATTTATAAATGTTATAATTATAAATTCTTATAAATATAATAGTTATATAACTAATATATAATATACATTAAAATATATTATATATATATAAATATATATATAAATCATCTAATTCCAAGTCAGTTGGGATACATCAGTGTTAACTTTGGATATTTTGTGTTTTATATTTATGTTATGATGTTTAAAAATGTACATATAACATTTGATATTTGTAAAAAATATTAAATATAACATTTAATAGTTTGTTTTTAAAAGTAATTCCTAAGTTACGAAGTTTTATATGTATCCATACTTTTGAAATTATTTGTCATATATTGAAAATTCCATTCAACCTCCTTCCAAATACTGGAAACAAAGGTATAAAGCTCCATAATGGACAAGATCCTCTCAAAGACATATTTTGTTTTAAATATTTATTTTTTATTTATGGGTGGACACAATATCTTCAATCTATTTTCATATGGTGCTAAGGATCAAACCCAGTGCCTCATGCATGCTTGGAGAGCTTTTTACCTCTTAGCCATGACCCCAGCCCTCAAAGACACATTTTTTTAATGAGGCATTGAACCCAGAGGGGCTTTACCACTGAGTCACATCACCAAGCTTTTTTTAAAAAWTTTTTTTAGTTGTTGATTAAACTTATTTATTTATATGTGGTGCTGAGAATTGAACCCAGAGCCTCAACACATGCTAGGCAAGCACTCTAACAACTGAACAATGACCCAGCCCTCCCCAAGCTTTTAAATTGGTTGATTATTTTTTTTTCTTTTGAGACAGTGTCTTCCTAATTCGGTAATGTCCTCATTAAGTTGCTGAGGCTGGCTTTGAATTCGCAATCCTCCTTTCCCAGCATCCTGCGCTGCTGGAATTACAAACATGCACCACTGTAATGGCTCCAAGACACAACTTAATTTAAATGCCTAATATACAGAATAACAATAGAACTTTAAAATAATAAGAGAAAAAATGCAGGTTACGTTTAGAGGTAAGTTAATTTGGATTTCAATTGATTTATTGACACAGACCTTAAAAGATAGCAGGTGTTGGAATTATATATAACAAATCCAGAAGGAAAATAGGTGCCAAGCAAGATTACAACACTGGAAAAACTATCTTTCAGAAATGATGTTAAAAGAGAACATTTCATGATAAGCAGAAACTAAAAGTATTCAAACCACTAAGCCTGCACTCAGTGAAATAGTTTAATGTAAAAGAAATAAAACAAAGTATTATAGGAATGAATTGCAATAGAAGAATAGTAAGTTAAAGGAGAATCAAAACTGAATTAACCATTAGAAATAAATCCAAATGACAGAAAATAAAATTTTCTCTCTGCAGCAACACTGAATGTAAATGTTGTAAACTCTCCAAACAAAAGACATAGAAAGGCAGATTAGATTAAAAAATTAGGCCCACTAAAATGTTGTCCAACAGAGATTCATCTTACAAAGACATTCACACACTGAAGGATACGGGATAGAAAAAGATACACCATGGAAATTAAAACAGCAAGCATGTGTAACTACTCAAATATCAAAGAACCTAGACTGCAAGTCAAAATTAATCAGAAAAGACAAATGTCACTTCAAACTGGCTAAAGGAATCAACCAAAAAGATACGATGATAACAAATATTCACACCCTTCAACGTGGGACACCTGTATATAAAACAATCCCTTCTCAATACAATGAATCAAGTAGACAACACTACAGCAATACTGAGCAATTTCAACATACCTCTGTCCATTAGGTAGGTCATTCAGGCATAAACTAAGAAAAGACTCTTCAGAAAAAAATATTATTAATCAAACGGAACTTACTGACACCTATAGAATATTTTATCCATCAAAAAATGAATTTACTTTCTTCTCAGTGCCACAAGGAACTCTCTCTAAAATAGACCAGATTTTAGGGTATGAATCAAATTCTAAAAAATGCAAAAAATGGAGATAATTCCTTGAATTCTGTAAGGTTATTATGGATTAAAATTATAAATCAACCATAAGACAAAGCAAAACACAACCATTTTAACACCAGGAGATTAAATAATTCACTTTTGAGTGAAGAATGAACCACAGAATAAATCAGGGAAGAAATTATTGGAAACAAATGCTGAGAAACAAAATCAAAATCTCTGAGACAGTATGAAGGTGCTTCTAAGAGGAAATGTTATAGCATTGAGTTCCCATATTAAAAGACTGAATGATTCCAAATAAATAAGGTGGTGCTACACCTCAAGATCCTAGAGGAAAAAAAAAATCAAACAAACAAGCAAAATCTGGAGAGGTCAGAAAATAATTAAGATCAAAGCCAGAATTAATGAAAGTGTAAAACTACAAAATATCAATGAGTTTTTTGGTCCTTTAAAAGATAAAAAGATTGATAAACTCTTAGTCAAATTAACCAAAAGAAAGAGAAAGAAGAGTCAAATCAACAAAATTATAGATGAAAAAGATATCACCACAGACAATTCTGAAATTCAGAGGATCATTAGAAACTGTTGTGAAAACTTATATCAATAAATTAGAAAATCTAGAATATATTGTCAAATGATGAGACACATATGACTGACCCAAATGAATCATGAGTATCTAGAAAATTTCAACAGACCAAGATCAAGCAATATAAATGAATCAGCAATTAAAGCCTTCTAACAAAGAAAACCTAGTACCAGCTGGATTCTCAGCTGAGTTTTGTGAGACTTTTAAAAAACATCTAATGCCATTTCTCCTCAAAATTTTCCATGAAATAGAAAAGGAAGGAACACTATAAGCCAGTGTCATCCTGAGACCAAAACCAGACAAAGATATATCAGACCAATATTCATGATGAAAATTGACGTGAAAATCCAAAATAACAAACTGACATGCCACATTTAAAATACACACTAGAAAGATAGTACAACAYGATCAAATGTGTTTTATTTCAGGAATGTAAGGGTGGTTCAACATATGCAAATCAATAAAT